AGGCGTTGTTTATGCACCGCCTGACAACGATGAACATTCTACCTGCGGAAAGCTTTGTGAATCACGCCAAGGTAGACACGTTGTACTTTCATTTACGTGCATATGTTTTGTGGTATATTAAATCACAAAGAGCTGTCAAATATGCGTATGCTGCTGTATATACAATATATGCGTGTATATATATATATATGTACTACGCAGTGCTAGATTAGGAGTGCCCTTCATCTAGCAGAGAATAGATCATGACCGATGGTAACACGTGTACTTGCTACAGGGGCTGAGCAGTGGCGCAATGGTTAGCGCACTTGCAAAATGATCCCAGCCACCTGAGTTAAATTGCCGGCCACGGCTAACAATCATTGGCGAATGATAATTTAACGTTATGTATTACTTAAATATGTATACTGTGTATCATCATCATAATACGCCACAATCAATCCACCCTGGATTACGATCTTCCCAAGTTGTGACCATTTATCATATTACCATACCATATGTAAATATACACACACATATCCAAATAAAATAATGTATGTGTTCCATACACTACATATATATGTACGTACGGTATATGTACTGTAAGTATAATGTTATTAGATATACGTGTGTTTGTTATCAGCCTATCATGTTACGAACTGGTTAAGTAAGCCACGTGGTAGGGAATCCAGCTTTACAACGCTAACATTATAAACCCTGGTCGCGTTACTAAGTTGCCGGTAGTGACCTTACCTCGGGTTTACACGTCATCGTCTTACTCTACATGAGCATTGCACGGGTTCGTTACTCTCCGACCATTACTCAGGTTAAGAGGACGAATGAAAACAACGGAGAATGATTGGGTTGTATTCTGCATTATGGTTTGACGCGATAAAATCTCCATCCGATGCAAATGCATCGAAGCTGTGCGGCATTCAGTGCACAGACGCAGCAGCAGTCGTAGTCGTCGTAGTTGCCCGCATGGATACAATCGCACTGGCGTGGCGTGTCTTTAATGGTTTCCTATGGGTATCTCTGTGTCTGTGAGTTTCTGTGTGTCTCTGTGAGTCTCTGTGTGTCTCTGTCTCTGTGAGTCTCTGTGTCTCTGTGAGTCTCTGTGTATTTCTCTGTCTCTGTGAGTGTCTGTGTATCTCTGTGTCTCTGTGAGTCTGTGTGTCTCTGTGAGTCTCTGTGTGTCTCTGTGAGTCTCTGTGAGTCTCTGTGTGTCTCTGTATCTCTGCGAGTCTCTGTGTATCTCTGTGTCTCTGTGAGTCTCTGTGTCTCTGTGAGTCTCTGTGTGTCTCTGTGAGTCTCTGTGTATCTCTGCGAGTCTCTGTGTGTCTCTGTGTCTCTGCGAGTCTCTGTGTCTCTGTGAGTCTCTGTGTGTCTCTGTGAGTCTCTGTGTATCTCTGTGGGTATCTATGGGTTTGCTATAGGATTTCGTGGTGTGGGTTTCATGGCCACAATCGCACTAGCCGTGACATTGTCTTACATTTTATTTCTGTGAGCCTCTGTGGATCCCTGTGCATCTCTATGGATTTCTCCGTGTCCACTATGGATGTGCTTTATATTAACAGTAATTCAGTTTATAAAACGAGCCTCTCATCGATAATCTCAAAACGCTGTACGAGAAACAGCGACCAACACTCAGCATGAGAAAGAAAAAATCACTCATGGAACTAAGAGTTCCCCAGATGTACGTTGATTCGAAAATAATCAATCAATCAAAGCACGTTAAACTTTAACGAGAACAAAAAAGAAGCCCGCAACAACTACATGCCGGATTAGGTTACGTTACTTCCGAAAAACATCAAGTAATCATTTACCGAAGAAGAATGACTCTTCAAGATTCACTCAGGAGTCGTCGGGGAGGCGATGCGTCACGGCTGTGCCCGGTTCACGCGCGGGTGGCGAAAGTTAACTTTGTTGGCCAAAGCACAAACGGCGTGGTGGGCAAACAGAAAACGTGAGCCGCGATCTTCTCTCGCTGATTACGGGGAGCCTTATACTCCTCGCCCATGGGGGCACGGGCCACATAAATGTAACTGTTGATGGAACCACCCGCGATGATGATTGTGTTGTTATTACTCTTTGGTTCTTTCGGTAAAGTCACGTAGGTATAAACTAAAATAAATTAAATCACGACGTTTCGATTGCAACACAAGCAATCATTATCAGGTGGGAAAACGACAGCAATAAATGTTTTGCTGAAGTGGGAGAGAGAAAACTTCCAAGTGGGAGAGAGAAAACTTCAAATCTAGATTGTGTTATTATTATTATTGTGGCTAGTGTGTAGTTCAATGGTTAACAGTGCTACGCTGCGAATCAGCATCATGAGAATCAGTATTTATACTGGAGGAAACCCATGAGCTATGAAGCTCTTTTTAATAGATGTCCAAAACCGGCGACCCGAGTTCGATTCCCGCTCACGGCCAACATCATCTGAATGGTACCTGGGCCTCCCTCTAGGTTGACTCAGCCTCAAATGACTACCTGGTGCGGTGTGCAAACATCGCCACTGGGAAGAAAAAGGCGGCCGGGCGTGGTTCTGGCCAGCCCACCCCGTCCGTGTGCCGTACTGGCATCTATAGGTGCTCGCTAGCAGTCTGTTAAGGCTATGGGGGGGGGGGGGGGTCTGTGTCTTTGTGTATGATACGACAATGAATGTGGCTTCTGAGTGAGATGAGTATTATGATGATCGTCTTGCCCGGGCATCGACGACAACCGCTTCATCATCAGCGTGGAGAGGAAGGCCCCGAGACCACCACCGAATTCTACACTGGCCCGTGGACTACGCAAGGTGGTGAAGTGTTTCGGCAGGTTCATTACGACGTGAATGTGGGATCATCAGCATCATCACCGCCATGCATTAGCATTCGAACTCGTGACGAGCTCGTACGTGCATTAGTCATTGTGCGCGCACGTGGCACGAACACCACCACCTCGTGGACACTTGCAAATCCAACAGCATCGATCGCGGATTGATGATGAATATCCATCGCCATGATAAGACTAACAGTACAGGCCCGAACAGCACTAGTTGCAAACAAGACGCAAACATTTGTGCATTTATTAAAACAAACCATCATGATTTCCTGAAGAGGTGCATTCTGGTTCTATTGTCTTGGATCTCCCTCTCAAATGGAGACGTACTTTGCGGCAATGAGCATTCCTGAACGCACTCTGCTGATGAGGCCGGATCATGGCGCAACTGATCCACAAATGTGTATCTCACTGTTGCCACTACCGCTCTGAGTCGGTCACATTATCTCAAATATACTTAGATGGTGGTCTAAGACAATATAAGACCACAATGCAGTTCTTCAGGAACGCTAAAGAATTTTGTTGGCATATGCGCAAAGTCTGCGTGCTCGGTGTCGTTTGAAACTTCCGATGGCATCGATGCCACCAATTAGCCACCGAATCATTGTAAAGTAACTTTAGATCTAATATTTAATCGTAAATGCTCATGCAATATAAAATGCAAACAGATAAACAACCTAACATCCGCGTGTTAATTTTGGCTATGACGATAGTAAGAATATTTAATTTGTACTACTGGGCAGCTTCAGCATTGTGGTGAACTAAATATTAAATGGAGACACTTCTCAGTACTTCTACACGGAAAGCCTGTGTATCGGCAGCACACGCAGTACATTTGTACAACCAGTAGAATGCAACAACGGCGATATTTCGAGACGCATTATCAGTTTTCTGCCAGCGATGCTGCGAAACATTCCCCTTTGTGACGTCATCCCCCCTCCACACTGCCGCCGTTAATTCGTATTTCCCCTTTGTGACGTCATTTCCCACCAACACACTACCAGCGGCCATTCGTATTTTTGTTTTTTAATTAGTGCAGTTAACGTCCACTCGCTTTACATCAACGGGAGAGACACCAATTGTCGTCGTTGATTATCGCGCCGATCGATCCCCGATTCGTGTTCACAGTGGCGAGCTTGAGTCAGGAGAGGGTTGGCATTGGCGCGGCCATAGCTGGCAGCGCGTCGGCCGCGTGCTGTTGCGGAGCTATCGCGGTTCGAATTCCCAGCGGGCCGCCCTGATTAATACCGCAGGTGCATTGACAATAACACCTTCTTGGTTCTTTCGGTAAAGTCAGGTAGAAGGGAAATAATAAAATAATAAAAATAAAACATAGTAAAATACAATTCTCACGACGTTTCGGCCACAACGCAAGCAGCCGTCCTCAGGTGACGAACAGGGCTGTCAGAAAGACAGAGTCTGAGATGAATCCCTGCAGTCACGAAAGCTTTAAATCGAAACAATACCACCAGCAATAATAATGATAATACGCGTCGTGCGCTTCACTCGCAGTGGATAATAAAGACCTTCCTGACGTCATTCGCAAAGGGAAACCTTCCCAACAAAGCCATTGGGTGCCAGAGTCAGGGTCCAAATTTGGCAACATAATTTTTTTAGACGCAAATTGTGATTGATTATGCACGGCAATTATCGCCCCCCCCCCCCCACCCCCACACTGCTTGGATACTGATGCCCGTTTGCTGGTCAGGTGCTGTAGTCAACTTGTGCTGCACGGGGACAGCTGCCACTGGGGGTGCCCTTCCTTAAAATGCGTCAGAGGTCGCAATCGGGTACCCGATACCCGTACCTTACCCGATACCCGGCTACCCGTACCCGGCAGGGTACGGGTACCCTACCCGATACCCGGCTACCCGTACCCGGCAGGGTACGGGTAGCCGGGTATCGGGTAGGGTACGGGTACCCGTTTGCGACCCTGGTGCGGCCGGGTACGGGTAAGGAATCAAAACCCGTTTGCGACCTCTGATATGCGTTGAGATGTGACATGAGGTGTTCTGGGACGAATCGCAGGGCACTGTATTAACCTTAAATATCATCACCGCTCAGAGACAGCAGAGTCGCTTTGCACAGGATGAACATACTGCACCACCGAGACACGAACAATCCGTGTCAAGTATAGACGTAGCTTTTACATGACAATCTGACGTTTCGGTCAATGGACCTACGTACATTGATTTCCTTACCTTTGTTTTGTTTTGCACCACGTTCCTTCTTTGCTCAGTATCCGCATGTCTCTCCCTCGTCCCCAGGTCTCGTCTCAACGCTCGATCACCTGCATGGTTATTGAGATACGCCGTCTATACCAGTCGTTTGGCCATACTTCACCACGCTGGTCGGTGCGGGTTGAACTATCGCTCACCACTGAAGTTGGCTGTTGCCCAACAATCGAATTCAGTTCGATGGTTTAATAGCAGCAGTGCGCTGACCACCACATCAGCAGCGATGGTTATCTGGACCAGCCCTGGGCCTCACCATCCCTTTACCAACCAGCATTGACCAGCGTGGTGAAGTATGGTCCAGCAACCCCCCCCCCCTGACCGAAACAACGCGGGGGTGACCCTTCAATCCAGGCTCTCGATAATAATTATTGTCATCATTATTGTAAACAATTGTTTAGATGTATCAGACAGACGTGCAGCATTGCTCGCGTACGGAGCTCAAAAATCTATCGGCCTTCTCCAGACTACCGGCTCTAATAAGGAAGCGAATGCGTGGCTACTTTGCCGTTGAGAGCAGCGACTCAAAGAGCTGGGAAAACGTGGCCATCTCGACGACGATCGTTGTATTCCAGGCTGGATCGCAGCTGAGCCCTGTCTGGACACCCCCAGAGCGAGAGTGGACGGTCACACCGCCACCGACAGCCCGTACCACGTCTAGTAGCTCAGTGTTAGAGCAAACAAAAACCGGCCTCGCAAATCGAAAAGTTGCGACGCCAACTCCTGGTTGGAGGGCGGGGGGTAGGCGGTTAACTCAACTCAACCAGCTTTCGTGACTGCAGGGATTCATCTTCTTGGTTCTTTCGGTAAAGTCACGTAGAAGGGAAATAATAAAATAATACAAATATAACATGCAGATGCTGTCTTTCCGACAGACCTGTTCTTCACATGAGAACGGCTGCTTGCGTTGTGGCCGAAACGTCGTGAGAATTGCATTTTATTATGTTTTATTTTTATTATATTATTATTTCCCTTCTACGTAACTTTACCGAAAGAACAAAGAAGATCAACTCAACCAATCAGCCTTCGGTGGTCGATAAAATAAGGACCACTTTGTGAGGAAGTCTACTGTCCTTTGATGAATAGGCTCGCCCTCGCTAAAGGAATGCGGAGTTCTCACTGCTTGGCTTGGGGGTTGTAAATAGGAGAAGATCACGTCTCGACGACGAGGCTTAATAGATACTCTTGTTGTGTATTCTTAGTTTTTTTCGGTAAAGTCACGTAGGTAAAACATCAAAATTATTAAAATAAAATAAAAATCACGACGTTTCGGAGGCAACACAAGTCTCCGTCATCAGGTGGGACCGTCACAGCCGGATTAGCTGCATCAAGTGAGGCAATGATTCAAGATGTAATCCCTCATTGCCTCACTTGATGCAGCTAATCCGGCTGTGACGGCCCCACCTGATGACGGAGACTTGTGTTGCCTCCGAAACGTCGTCAATTTTTTTTATTTTCATTAATTTTGATGTTTTACCTACGTGACTTTACCGAAAAAACCTAAGAATATGAATCCTTGCAGTCACGAAAGCTTCAAATCTAGAACTCTTGTTGTGACAGCATGTCCTGTGACGTCACGCCACGGGGGGGCGGGGGCATGTTGAGTGCTGCGGCACGTGGTTATGGGGAGTGAGTGGTGTGACCTCGTGACTCTGTTGACCACGTGACCTGTCCGGTTCACGCATTGTTCGCGTCACGTGACGCCATCACCACCCCCACGTCCCCCTCCTCCCCACGCCCCCTCCTCCATCCCTCGCCTCTTTGCAATGGCACCGGACATCCGGGCGGACCTGGAAATAATTAAGACACGAGAAACAATTAGACACGAGGATATAAATGAGCCACCAAGGCAAACGGAGTTTAACGTCGGCATTGGTAAATGTTTAACGTGAGCCAACGGTCGACAGGATTTTTTTCACGACTCGCTTAATTGTTACAGCGGGGCCTGTGGCCAATGCAACCCAATTCTTTGGACCACAGAGTTCTGAATTGAACCACCTTGCTCCCAGCCTACACATCAGAGACTCACCGCTGCACCCTTATGGTCCCCTCCTCAACGTCCTTAAGGTCTGGGATTGCAGATTCCCTCTGCGTTCCCATGAGGCCATAGAGGCTTCTTAGGTCCATGGGAAAGGGAGCTGTTCCCTGCGTGCCCCCCACCTGACTCTGGAACGAACTCGCCCCCCCCCCCCCACCCCACTAGATCTCAGCATCTCTTTCGGAGTCTGTGGACGTTTTATAAACACGTCTTTAAACTGATTCATGCACTTTTGTTTATTCAACTTTTAGTTCCGTGAGTTATTTTTTTTCTCATTCTGAGTGTTGGTCGCTGCGTCTCGTACAGCGTTTTTAGATTATCGATGAGAGGCTTTTTATCAATTGAATTACTGTTAATATATAGTACATCCATATGGACACGTAGAAATTCACAGATACCCACAGAGATACACAGAGACTCACAGAGACACACAGAGACTCGCAGAGACTCACAGAGACACAGCGATACACAGAGACTCACAGAGACACAGCGATACACAGAGACTCACAGAGACACAGAGATACACAGAGACTCACAGAGACACAGAGATACACAGAGACTCACAGAGACACAGAGATACACAGAGATTCGCAGAGACACAGAGATACACAGAGACTCACAGAGACACAGAGATACACAGAGACTCACAGAGACACAGAGATACACAGAGACTCACAGAGACACAGAGATACACAGAGACTCGCAGAGACACAGAGATACACAGATACTCGCAGAGACACAGAGATACAGAGCTTCACAGAGACACAGAGATACACAGAGACTCACAGAGACACACAGAGACACAGAGATACACAGAGACTCACAGAGACACAGAGATACACATAGGAAACCATTAAGACACGCCACGGCAGTGCGATTGTGTTCATGCAATCCACCCCATGGACCGTAGAGCAAACACCACTGTAGCCTGCGCTCCTTCGACGGAGGAGGGGGAGCAAAACGACACGAACTCTTGCAGCCATCTCGTTGTGACCCAGCAGCAATCAGCAGCAAACCTCCACATCAGCGTCGAGCTCATGATCCGTGCTTCAGCCATCATCGTGCGCAAGGGTAAACTAAAATTTGCAGCCCCCACTCCACCACCTGGTTTATTTGCTTATGGCAAAATGTGTTAGATTTTAAAGTTGTATTTCATTAAAATGAAAGTCATACTGTGTCTGTCTGCTATGGCGGACTGAACCTCGATTAAGTTTTGTTGATCTGTATCCCGCTTATATATTTCCAAGCCTCCCTTCATCTCTCAATGGGCTCTCACCTGGTTGCCATCATAAATGCGATGAGCAAGAACTCAGTTCTGCCTGCGGAATATAAACACAAATTATGCCGTTGTCCATGAGCGTACACATTGGCTTCCCAGACCAACAGTGCCCGGCGTTGTTTGTTTATGCAACCACTCTGGCCCAGTTTCGACCGCATCGCGTCACGTGGCAAATGGGAAGCCGACTGACAATGTTAGAATATTAATTAAATTATTCACGTGCGTGTGGTCACACAGAACGCAGTTTAGCTTGCATGTGATTTTATCCATGAACACGTAATGAGTTTAGTTGCAACTACGGATCACCTCCAATTAGCACGGTTGGCTACGTACGGTGAGAAAGAGGTTGAACATGATACAGTACATACCTATAAACACGGAGCAGAGTAATGGCTTATGATACCCCGTATGATTATGATGATTGCTTCACGTGCGTTATTTGAATTGAGAGTAACAAAAAATGTGTTTACCGTGATATAAATCACTCATTAGAAACGAAGCAGGCTTGGCACACGTTCTCAAAATTCAACACTTTATTTGGTGATGTGCTGCTGTTACTGCTGCGTTGGCAACGGTGCACACGCACAACTAATAATACAAAACTCAACACACCAGTCAATATAAACACTGTCTTAAAAGAAAAAATATATAGTCGGTGACGTTTCAAGCAATGGCTTTGACCCTTCATAGAAAATAAACCTTCATAGCACACTCTGTGCGTGCTATGAATCATGGGTCAAAGCCCGAAACGTCGCTGATAATTATATGTAGTCGCCTCTTAAGGCCATCGTGTTGTTAACGATTGCCCACAAATTCAAGAGCGCCCACGAAGTTAATTTCAAAAACGTTGCAGGGTGCTCACAGAATTCTGCATCTCGCCGTTACGAGCTACAACACACGCATACTGCTCGCAATGCCATGCACTCGCTTCAGTGTACGTGAAGTTCACTCATAAAATATTAATCATTCGGGACAATAGTGCACGGTGAAATATGTGTGTGCGTGTGTGCAGCCAACAGCGGTGGTAGCCTTGTAAATTAATACCTGTGACTTGACAAAGATGAATTTCTTCCCCGTGTAACGTGGCTTAGATTTGAACTCTTTTCAAGTTAAATGATCACCCAGCATAACTTCCAACAAAACATCCCGTGTGTGTGTGTGTGATTAATTCTAGCTCTGCAACAACAACAAACAAAGGCAAAGATCCCCCGTGTAGCCTTAAAAGACTGTTGGGGCAAGTGCTGTTAGCGAGCACCTATTAAGTCCGGCACGGCACACGACGGCGTGGGTGGCTAATATCACGCCCGGCCGCCTTTGTCTCCCGAGTGATGATATTTACACACCGCACCAGGTACTCATTTGAGGCTGAATCGACCTAGGGGAGGCCCAGGGACCGCTTCAGATAATCGTCACTGCAGTTTTCCGTGAGCGGGAATCGAACTCTGGTCGCGAGGTTCGGAGCGCAGTGCGCTGACCGCTACACAACAGTTCCCCGTAACTGATGGGTGCCGCGATGTGAACTACCTCGCCCAGTATACAGGAGGTCGTGGGTTCGAACCCGACCCTGACGCCTTTATATTTGGAGTTTGCATCGTCTCCCCATGGTCGAGCGGATTTTTCTCCAGGTCCTCCGGTTTTTCCCTCCTCATTTAGAAACATGCGTTTAGAGGATTTGGCTCCTTTAAATTTCCACGTGATAATACACTTAATTGGGCTATCATTAGTGGCCAGTCGCTTCTGAATAGCTAAAAAACTCAGTGGGATTTACCTGGTAAAAAATAATAGTACATATCCACATATATATACAGTATATGTTATACATATACACTAATCCTGTTCGTACGATTTTAGTGATATACGGTACAATTTCATTGGGTTATTATGGACAGTCGTACATTATACTCCAAGTGGTAGTGCCTTACGCCGATAAACCCTGCATCAAGTCAGCCGAGCAGAGTTCCGGAAAATATCGAGTCAGAAATGACTCCCTGCGCGTAACCAATATACATGTAAGTGGGTATGCATTTAATTGTATATGTATATGCCTATACGCATATGTGCACATGCATAGCACGTGTGCAGCGAGTGTCGTGTTACGATTAATTCACGCGCGATTCAATAAATCGTCGCGATGTGGGAATCGCGTTTCGATTAATAGATTTTTTAAAATCGAAAATTTCATATATCTAAAAAATATCTATCTTATTTGTTGGGTCAATACCGTCTCGTTTGTATGATTAGGACTCGTAAATTATCTTGCGTTCGCATTGTCGCTTTGGTCCGTTCTGGCTCTGTTCTGTGTGATCTGTCTCGTCTGTGCTGTCATCTCTGTTCGTGATGTCTCCTTCGTAACGGACTCGTTGGTATTGTCGCTCTCCCTACTTCGTGTTTCGTTCTCACAGCCACCCACCCCCCCATCATGTAACATTTTCGCAAAGCTATAAAATGAATACAAGTTCAAATATTACACAAGCGAGTCGATGCAGCGCATCTTGAGCAAATAAAATAAAAATTGTAATCGATGAATCCATTAATCGTTAACATTCCTTCGAAACCAAAATAGATAATTATCTGTACTTTTTCAAACCACGACTGAATGGAGGTCCTAATGTTCGTGGCGAGCTTGCTATACTTCCCCACGTATATAGATATAGAATTAAACGGTTGAATACGTACGGTGCGAAAGAAGATCAACATCCTGTACATAGATGCATAATCCGTTATAATCGATGCCATCAAAACTTCCCACAAAGCGTTGTGCCAGCAACATTTTTGAACTCAACATTTTATTTTAATGAGTCAGCCTGCAGTTCACACAATGTTGTTTCAATGTCCCACTGCAGGAGTTGATTCAAACCGCGTAAAGCGATTTTTTTTTTGGGTAGAAATAGGTGAGCCGCATGTACAGTGCGAAATCGCACAAACCGAACCTGTATAATGCGCAGGGAATCTGTAGAGTACATTGCTTTTAAGGCGGTGTGTTTTTTTTTATCACTACACCATACATGAAGTGCCGGATTATCCTAGTAGCAAAAGTAGCTACATATGCTCTGGGCCCCACACTTTGAAGGGCCCCGCGCTAAATGCTTTCAAGCCATCAATTCCGGTTCAGTGATTCTGCACTTGCTCTGTTACTATAGTACTATACCGCATTCAACTTTTATGAACGACTGGGTGTTTAAGGTTGGTGATTTGTCGTATTATCTGGCTGTATAGCAAATTAAAAAATTCAATTAATTTACTAAGCAAGTATTTTTTTTATATTTCCGTGTTTTATTTTAAATTTAGGGCCCCTTTATAGCATATGCTACAGGCCCCGCACTAGCTTAATCCGGCACTGCATACGTGAATGGATGGATGAGAGGTCTATTTTCCTAAAAAAAAACACAGCCGTTCGTGTGGCCAACCTCACTCCTATTGAGCCAGACTCTGCAATCACTCTGAACGCTCCCTCCTGACTGCGAACTGAGAAA